TGCTGAACCAGGAATGTTGGAAGAAAAGGAAATACTCAAAAAAAGACAGTATATGAGATCCATGAGACTATCAGTCGAAAATCTGTTGCTTTCAGTTTCATATGTGGTTAGAATTTTCTCTTCATTTTCCTGGAGATATTCATATCTATTCAAATTCTTGAGTGTTTTCTTGTTAAAGAAAATACATCACAGGATGTATTTTATCATAGCTGTGTTGATGTTGGTATACTTGCCCTACATATGCACTGAAGGCTTGATTTTCATTTATAGGAAAAGCACTAGTGACTGAGGAAATGTTGCTTAAGGTGGTATAAAGCAGACTTAATGTGAGTGGGAATGAAGTTCTCTCTTGCTAATATAGGTTTTCACTGTAACAGAATAAGACCTATTTTATATCTATAACATTTGTTATGAAGGAAATCAAAAATAAAAGAGGAGGATCCCAAACTGATTATGACCTCCTCAAACAGAAACTACTAGTCTTGGGCTGTGTGAAAAATGTCTAAAATGTAATTCTACTTTTGAAGTGTTATTGTACTGCAAGAAGGAAGGGGGCACTGTCCAAAGTTTGTAAGTAATTTAGACTGTATAAAACACCTAGCCTGTTTTTTTTTTTCTTATAAAGGAAGGAAGCCAGGATGTGTTGCCATGAGAACTGGACGCGCATCTGGATTATGGGATGTTCTTGACTGTAAGACGAAGCAAAAATTTATCTGTAAACAGTGGGCAAAAGGTGCAACAGCCCCACCTATTCCAACTACAGCTCTGGTCCCCATGTGCCATGAAGGCTGGATATCAAATACCCATAGTAGTTCCTGCTTTAAAGTAAGTACATAAACAGTGAAAGGAAGAAGAAAGGCTGTGTGCTGCTTCATTTGAATAAGGAAAAAAAAGAGGAAAAAAGAAGGGACTTTTCATTTTGCAATATCTGAGATTGAAATATAGCCAAAAGAAAAAGAAAAGAGAAAGAAAAGCTCTCCAGGAATTACCTGTGAGAGAGGAGAAACTAAAGAAGAAAGATGAGATTGAAAGGACTTGACACAGTAGATGGGAGATAGAAAGGAAAATCAAGACGTTTGTGTGAGGGGGTAGAATAAATTGGAGCAGCAAATGATAAAAGAAGAATATAGATATGCAGTCCCTGGAATGACATAAGGAAAAGAGGAAAAAAACCAACAATGAAACAACATAATATTTTCAAAATTATTAAGAGACCAATGTCAAAATGTTACATTAAATAGTAGAAGCAGCAAAGCTTGGCTGTTAGCATGGCTCTTTATATCAGATGTGATCACTAGGTTGTGCAAAAATCCCATATTTAGCTGAGCTGCTATGTGAAAGTTCAGGGAATGAGGTAAAGTGTAGTCTGTCCAAAAGCAGGACAAAGCCTAAGGCTGGACCTTTCTAAGGTCAGCACATTCCCACAAAGCAACAGGTAACACCTCAAATTAAAGGTTAATTAAAATAATGTTTATGGAGCACATTTATGAGGGAGTTTCAGATGCACAGTTACAGAAAACTTGTATTGAGGTACACTCAGTTATGAAGGCATATGAAAGGACTTTGAATAAGAAGCGCGGGTGGTGCGCAAAGATTGACTTGGGATCATGCAGAGTAAAAAGGTACTAAATAAATCTGAGATGTTAATATTTTTTATCACTTTATTTGAATTAAGGAGTCCTTGTCTTTTTATTACATTAATGTTTTCATTTCTTTCAAACTCACCTGGAACAATAGTTGTTTGGGTTCTGTTTTCCCCAGATCATGAAGTTTCTTTCTTTCTAGCCTTAATCAAACTTGTGTTCATTCTCTGTTAAATTACCAAACTGTTAAGACAACCCATTGCAAATGTGAAGTGAGACATGGGAACCACCATGAGATCATTCTTTTGCCTCTGTCTTCAGACTCCTCTCACGACGTCTTTTCTCTCACCCACAACCACTGTCCTTTCCCTCCTTTTGGAGGGAATCCTGGGTCCTCCTCCAGATAAAACAAGTCAGAGCTGATTTTATTCTCTTCTAATGCTTCCTTTGCTTTGTTACCCCTACGGTAACTAACTAGATCATTCTGTAAGTGTAAAAATTTTGTGACTAGTTAATCAATGGTAGTCCATGTTATTTCACCTATGGAGTATTATTTGAATTGTACGAAACTTCATTTACACATAAGAGAGATTATGTTTCTTTATTTTATTAAAATAGGCACAATACATTTTAAAGTATTTTTTCTCTAGTGTTTTCACAGATCAAATATTGAAAAGAAATCATGGTTTGAAGCTCGACATTTTTGTAGAAAAATAGGAGGGGATTTGGCTACTGTTAATAGTCAGGAGGAGATGCAGTTAGTAAAAAAAGCAATACGGTGAGTGTCTATTCGGTGTTTATCTTACTAGATTTAAGAGATATTTAATATGAACTATTATAAATGTTCTTAGATGATTTCTGAAACATATGAATTCCTTAAAAGCGGAAAAACTTTGTATTACTTTGAAATTTTATCTAATGATGAGTATTTTTAACTGTTTCATGAAAAAAAAAGTTGTTTATATGCAGGAGCTTCATATACCAGTGTCATGATTAATAGATATCGTTTAGGAAGACAAGAAATTGCGGAGATTTTTTTTTTAATAGGGTAGGAAATATGGCCAGTGACTCACCCTATTTTTGATTCACCTTTAAGTAGTCAACACTTGAACCGTTTTCAGAATCAAGAATCAATTTGTGAAGGCATTTCCTTGCCTAAGAGAACAGAACATAGAGGAAATTCAAGATTGATACTATGAATAATGTTGACAAATAAGTCATTGCCACTGAGCCAGTGCACAGGTAGCAATGGCACAATGTCAGTTGTTCTTACAGCTCCTTTGTGGTGTTGATTGTCTTATATAATCTTGCTTCCTTCAAGAAGCAGTCCTTGTCTCAGGTAACAATAACACATTTTTAAAGACATCTGTTATATTTCTAAATTAGTACAATAGTCTTTCCATAGTTCACTATTCCAGGGCCAATGCTTTGCAATTGGGTGCACTGCCGATTACATGAGTTGCCCCATGGAGATCCCAGCAGCTGTAAGCACTTGCAAAGTCTAGTGAAAGCTACCAGACTACATCAAATAGTCAGGTGAGGTGGGTAAGAGGGAGATAAATATTAGATATTTCTATGACTTCACCCAAAGCTAACTCAAGTCAAATGAGATATTACAACTTCACTGTGCTTTAGAATGTGCTCTACCAGATTTACTGATCTATTTCTAGATGTCATTTGCATCATAGATGTTTACACATTGCTCTATCTTATAATTTGTGTTAGTGACAATCGCTGTAGCTTTGAAAAGATTTGGCTTGGTATATTTTCCTTGAATCCAGATGAAGGATTTGCCTGGAGTGATGGCTCTCCAGTGAGTATTTTAATTTTTTTATAACATTTGTTTGCTCAGGATGTTTTGGGGCTTGTACATGTGCTTTTTAATTTTTTTTTTTGTTTTACTGCTCTTCTTTTCAAAGAGATCGCCAATCCTGCAAGCATTTACATGGCTGCCAACCTTTACTATCATGAGTAAAATGACATCAATACATTTGGACACATGGAAGTCATCTCCAGCTCATCATCATTTAGTTGGGATCTGTAGCTTTCTGCACACCACTCCAGCATATTTTCTTTTCCTAGAATATAATATGAACACATCAGAATAAAAAACTTGATTGTATCAGATTTTGTGTCCTGCTTTTGGCAGTGGCCAGAAGCATGTTAAGAGCTAAGCATACAGCAAGCATACAAGATAGTTTCCCAGTATACTCCTGTTCCCCCCAGTAACTGCTGGCTCATCGTCTTCCAGAATCAGAGGTGTGATCTTTATAATCAATGCATTTTTTCTGTGAATGTATGCAGAACCAGGTTGCAGTCAATTAAGTGAAACTTACCTTGTCGATGCAGCAGCAGCAGCACCAGGGGGACTGAGGTGAAATTCTTAGCGGCATGAAGAAGCCCACTGGAAACAGTTCATTTGCCTGTTCCTATTCTGACTGCCTCTAGAGGATGAGATGTGAAGACAAAAAGCCCTCCATGCTTTTGGAGGGCAAGCGAGCCTGATTCCCTGACCATTGACGGCATTGCTCAACTGGAAAAATTCTTAAGACTATTATTTTTCCTATATTTTCACCTGTTTTTAGTGAGAATCTCTCAAGCAAACCCAGCTTATTCTTGTTGGCCAGTGGTGTATATAACTGCTGAAACTGTCATTGAGATGAAAAGAGTAACGAGGATGATTTCTTCCACAGGTTAGGTACACAAAATGGGATGATAGTCCAAGAGATTCAGGAGAAGACATGTCCTGTGGCTTATTTCATGATGGGTATCTTTCTGGTAAATGGTTTATTTGGCACTGTGAAGCACAACATGACTGGGTTTGTCAAATAAAAAAAGGTAATTTATTCCTTTGAAGTAGGAAACTTAAATAAAATAGCATTTTAAGTAGTTATTTTCTAATGAGTAGTAGGAGAAAGATAAAAAATTTCAAAAACTATATTTTTTGCAAGTGCAAGCAAAAAGAATTAGGCAACATAATATGGGCCAGGATTTTTCAGTGATAGATGATGAAAATAAATAAATGTGTTTCTCTATGTAAATTAGGTTTATAAATAATCTGTGTGTTTTCCAGGGCCTCACAGATTGTAAACTTCTGTACAGTAAGAAGCTTTACTTTGTGTGCTTATGTTGTAGGAAGTACAAGCTCTGTATGCCTTACAATACTAGTTTTTGCGCCTACATGGATAGAGCTAAAAAAATAAATAAATAAAAAGAAAGAAAAAAAGTTGCAGAGAAAGCGTACACCAAATGTATTTTTGCCTTGAGATTTGACTGGATTTATCATAAATTATTGGCAGTCAAAAGGAGTTAGGGAAGGTAGTGGGAGATGGACAGAAGCAGAAGGTTTTGTTTTAACTTCCTGTTGCCTTCCAGTCCCCTTACTGATGTACCATAGCCCTGCGGGCCCTGCTGAAAACATACTGAGGAGTTAGCTAGCTTGGGTATGTCTCTTGTTAAGCAGCCCAGGCAGCCACTAACAGGACACATGGTGAGCTGCACAGCCATGGGACACCAGCTTTTCTGCCTGAAATCCACCAGAGCTTTGGACAGTATTAAAACTTTTGCATGGGATATTTCAATTCTACCAGATCGGATTTTTTTTCCAAAGGAAAATAGTTCCAACAGAAAATTGTCTGCTGCCTCTAGACATTATCATAATGGTCTGATCAGGAAACCATTTCATACGAGAAAAGTCTTCAGGCTCACAGCAGTTTTGGTATGTTTGGCGGTTGTTGCCTAGGCTGGTCACAGCAATAGCAGTATGGTTAAGAATACATCTCATTTTGCTTATGAATATTTGGAACTGAGAGATTTTTTTTGATAGAGTCAAAATAAACTTAATGAAAACTTTATCTTTCTTGATAAGAAGATCATAATCCACCCCTTTGGAGGATTATGATCTGTTTACGGCTTCATCATTAAAGGAGCTGTAAAACTAAAGCTGAAAATGTTTTAATTAACTCTATTCTTGCTTACAGAATGTCAGAGCAATTTTCCTTTACATTGCTCTGTGCAGGAATGTAATCCAGGCAAAGCCATGACTTTACTGGCATGAAATACAGCTTATGATGCAAATATAAAAGTAAATGACCATGCAGATTTAATGATGTGTAGCTGAAGTACATGGTTAAGTGTGCTTCTTTTATCCCAATGGCAAAAGATTGCAGAATTCTATTCTAGTTGTTTCTCATTCAGGTTTTGCAGGCAATTGTAAGTTACGTAATAAAACACATCAGAAATTCTATTCTCTTCAATTTTGCAGGATTTTTTTAAATCATCCTGTTCATTATTTTTTATTAAAATCGTTATTCTAAAACAAACTTTTATGTTCCACAGATGCAGAATTTAAGGCTACCTTATTTATCTTCCAGAATATAAAACCACTGTGGATGGATGGGTCATATATGAAGATAAGCTGTACTACATCAGCAAAGACAGTGTGTCTATGGAAAAAGCCCAAGAGTTTTGCAGGAAGAATTCTGCAGATCTGGTTGTTGTTAATAGTAATAGTGAGAGGACATTCCTAAGGAGAACTCTAAAAAAAAGAGTAAGAATCAATATCAACTAATAGCCTAAAGTAGAAACACTTTTGACAATCTGCTCCCCCAAAATGAATTGCCTCAATGATAGAGTTGTGAGCTTGTTCACTACTGAAATCTGCCTGAGATGTGATCTATGAAATTCCCCCCAAAGCGCCTTGTCCTCTGATATGTCAAATCAGTGTTTGTCTGCACAACCCTTTTGGTCCCTCAGGGTTTGTTCTGTTGTTCTCCCGTGCCAGGCATGCTGAGGTTGTAAGGCAGGCCAGTTGGAAGAGCAAGGTGGGAAGCTGCCGTGCTGGTCTGGGAAGCCCTCAGTGTGAGAGAGAGACATGAGGCTGGAAAGAGACAGTGCCGCAGTCCTGGAGAGAGGAGAAAAAACATTCAGCAGTTTCTTCCTCGAGCACTACTTCTCTCTTACCCCGTCCCATGGGCTCCTAGAGCTGCAGGACTGCAGCTCTGATGCTGCAGACAGTGCTCCACAGCTGTGGAAAGCTGACTTCTGCACCTGAATATCTAAACATATGACTGTGCTTAATTATAAGCATATGCTTTAGTGCTACTGACTTTAGTACGGACCTAATCAATGGCCAGTGTGTTTCTATTTGTTTTACTTTAATGATTTTTTTTTTTTTAGTTAAAATTGTGTCTTTCTCTTCTAGGATAAATATTGGAGTATGTCTACACCGTACTTCATTGGTTTGAAAGTGAGTCTTGATAAAAAATTTAGGTAAGTTAACATGATCACTGCAGCTCTTAACATGCAGAAACAAATACTGCATTTTTTGTAGCTGGAGGCAATAAAATATATCATTTTCAAGGACTGAAAGCAATTGTATGTACTGAGTACAAAGCAGTATGGAATAGTCCTGGAATAGTCCAAAGTCCAGCAGTTTTCTCTAAGGGGAAAAAAGCACATTTTTTTCTTGAATAATCACTTAAAGGAAGAAAGGCTTGGCAGATGTATTTCTTCAAGTACTCTGCAGACATGCTTTCTCAAGTCTCTTTCAAAGTTTTGCCTCATAAACTGGAGGAACACCTTACTACGCTGTATTTTTTATCTATAAAACCCATAAACACACATGCACAAAATATGTTCCATGCTATATACTCTATCTTTCATATGCTTTCTATCAATATATCATAGTTTCAATTCTGACCTCCTGATTTACGACACTAACTAGGGAGATGGGGCATTGCTTGATTCCAGTGAACATTTCATTTATTTAGAGCAAGTGCAACACATTAGCGAGAGACAGAAGAGGGAGCTGAACTTCATTTCCCACTTCCAGCTGAGTGACCTAATCTCTGAGATTTGATTAAAATACAGGATCAAACCTCTTCTTCCTACAATAGCAATTTATTCAAAAAAAATGGAGTACGTATAAAGAAAAATGTCAATTTTGATACTTCTCAAAGGGCAATCTTAAAGCTGAGAGAATGCCTATTAGTCTCCAGACCCAAGAGTTAAGAGAAATAACCTATTGAGAGATTTCTCTTCAGAGTAAAATCCACAGATAAGTGTCTGCTGCCTTTGTGTCTATGAAAGTATCAGAAATACTCAGACTGTGAAACTAAATGATTCACCCAGATCAGTTAAAATAAATAAAACATTTAATTTTCTTCCCTATATTACAGCAGGCTAAATAATAGTTTCTAACATTAAATGATTGATTCCTGTCTATCAGTGGAAAATATGTTTGTTTGTTTGTTTCTACTTGGCACCAGTAACGTTTTACATAAATTACATCAAATGGCAATAATCAAGTAAGGAAAAGAAAATCCCTAACAGTCCTTCTAGTTTTGATGCTTATGGACCTTTTCTTCCCTGTGGGTGTTCATTAGGATTCTTATCCAATGACTGAAGTGCTTTAATTAATAACTGTTAGTATATCTTTTTTTTAAGCTGGATAGATGGGACTCCTGTGACCTATGTGGCTTGGGCTCCCAATGAACCCAACTTTGCAAATAATGATGAAAATTGTGTGGTAATGATGTCAGACCTAGGTGAGTAACAGCTAAAATTTTACGTTTTACTTTTTTCTGTTTGCCTCAAAGGCAGTCTTAGGCACTTTTAAATCCTCTTGAATGTAAATACCTTGCACAACAAACCCTAGGGGTAATTTTTCCTCTTGGCTTTATCTCTGTAACTCAGCTGACACTAATGGGAGTTTGATAGTGAGGACAGAAGGAAGCCAGTCTCCCCACTTATGATTTCTAAACAATTCATCCAGCAGTCCCATCTAAAATTCTGCATTTGTATGAAGTCACTAAAAGCGAAGTTCATTTGCTCAAATAGAGGCATCTACTGCTATTCTAAATGCATCCTACCTCCTTCAGCTGCTGGTCCAGAAAAGGTGGCTCACCCACAGGTCCATGTCGTATCTGCTAGGCCCCATGTAGATGTGTCAGCTGTCATGAGCTCATCTCAGATGATGCTAGAAGCCCTCATGTGGACAGCTGAATTGGACCATAAGTGTAGCATTCAGCTTGAGCTGACAACTAAAAGTAGCTTATGTGAGCTAGGCCCCTGACCTCTCATTATGGTCAAAAGGAGATGTTATCGGTGCACCCAGCGCTGCCTGAAGAGCAATTCAGTTTACCCTAGAGTAGTATTCAGTTGCCAAAACATACATGACTGTAGTCACCTGCAATGTCCTAGTGTTATCCCACCTGAGTGTAAGTTTTCCAGAGGAACTGTGACATGTCTTCCGTCTCTCTGCATAGCCTCTCAAATGCACTAAACTCTTCTGTTTAGATAAATGAATCCTGACCTAGTGCTCTATTGATTATAACAGGTACTTAGAAACTTAGGTAATTTAATCTGCAAATTGAATCCCTAGATAATGCTGCATTAACTTGGATCACCAGGAGATTAAACATATTTCATAATGCATTTTTAAACAGCATATTGTGCCCTCAGTTAGATATGGTATTTCCTATCTCATCCATTCCTCTCCCATTTTCTTTTCAAATTTGATTACTGATATATGTCCCCTGTGGTCTGCAATGTAATGGTGCCATTGCTTGAACAAACCACAAACAGGTAACAGATTCTGTGGGGAGCTTAGGATGAGGAGCAGCAGGGTCAGGCAGTTCAAATTAAGCACGAGGGATGACAGCTGTGCAAGCATTAGAGCTTCAGCTGGCTCATCAAAGCTGTCATGTTAACTTGGCCCTCACATCAAGCTGCAGCCTGAAATACAAAATACACTAAATTGCTTTCTGCTACAAAAATGTTCATCATATCTTCATCTTTTTTCTCTTGTCCTCTGTCTCCTGTAATTCTCCTACTCAGACTCTCTGAGGGGGAGAAAAAGTAGAATGAAGTTAACTGATGATCACAGGATTGCTTTTGAGCCACTTGTCCTTTCTTCGCTGTCCTGCATTCTTTTTTTAATTGCTAGACACTGGCCGAGTAGCAGTGCTCAGCAGCTAACATACATAAACATCTGCTTTTGTAAACAGTAGTTCAGTGCATAAATGTAATGCATGGCTGTTTTACTCTCTTTTACAGGTTACCCCCTTTACAAATTAAAATAAAAAGTGTTTTTATTTATTTAATAAATAAAATTTAATTTATTTCTATAAATAGTATTATAACACTTGCTGATTCAATCTAATTATTTTGTAGGCTTATGGAATGACATAAACTGTGGTTCCTCCAATAATTTTATATGTGAAAAGCATAACAGTTCTATTAATTCAACTTTTGCTTCTCCATTGCCTCCTGGAGGTTGTCCAGAAAGTTGGCTTTTTTTTAACAACAAGGTATGTCAAAAAGTATCTTCAGTGAATTGTGCATGACAGTGAAACTGAAGAACTGATTACTGAAAGAAAGAATTTGCACACCATTAATGACAACTGCAGTTTAGCACTCTTGAGCTTTGTCATTATTCTAGCCCCGCTTTCTCTTTCTGGAGAAAGGTACATCCTATGGCTAATTGGCATTATTCACATATAACAATTTCCTTCTTCTTTGCTGATTCCAGTGAAGTGCTTGATTCATGCTTTTCTTTTCTTCCCCCTGCAGTGTTTCAAAACATTTGCTTCCAATATAACAAGACAGCTCACATGGCATGCTGCACGAGACACTTGTGTAGATTTGGGAGGAAACCTGGCTACCATACCAAATGAAGAAGTGCAAGGTACATATATGGGCTCTATTGAACCAGATGGGATTTTGGTTACTTGTCATAAAGCCAGACGTTAACCTCCTGCAAAGGAAAGTACTATCCTGTCCAATGTAGATCACAGGATTATCTTCTGAAAATTGTTTATTAGCTAGATCAGTTCATGCTTGGTTTTAACTCCAAAGTATGAAAGGTTAGCTAAATTGTTACATACAAGAAATAAAGAGTGTATTGCTAGTTCTTTCAGCTTTGATCATGAAATTATGAAACTTCCAGTTTGTTTTGAGTGTGATTCCCTCAAATTAACAGACAGCTGCATCTTCCTCTCTCTTATTGGTGATAGGATTTGTTTGAGTATAATGCATGCATACATGTTGGGGAAGGGGACATTTCCTCATTTGCTCCAGAGCTTGCTCTTTGACTGTTTTGTCAGCCTTAACGCTTGCATAAGATATGTTCCTGTAGGTGCTAACCTAAACATTCAGTAAAAGGTAGCTGTTGTGGGAAATGTTATCTCTTTAATATGGCCCTGGGTTCTGGGCATGTGCACAATTTTTCTATCTTGGGTAAGGCACAGTGGGCTTCCCTTAATGAAGAATCTTTGCTTCCCTCCAGCCTTTCTCTTTTATCATTTAAAGGGAGTCACAAGTGACGTTTGGATTGGAATGAACGATATCAACACAGAGTCCACCTTTCTTTGGACAGATGGAAGCGCTGTTTCCTACACCAACTGGGTTGAGGGTGCACCAGAAAAGAAACAAAGTTTCTTCGACTTTTATGACTATCTCAAGCTAGTGGACGACACTGTGGAGGTATTGAAAGTTTAAGTAACCTAAATCTTAGGCAGCTAGATTTTTTCTAACAAGATAACAAGATGTTGAAACAGGTCCTTCATAAGCAGCATAGGGCTTAGCAAATCACCTGATAGCCATTCCTAATACACCAATATATTTGGCAGAGATTCTGAAGAAGAGGGACTTTGTGCTTTCCATCTGAGCCATTACAAAATACGAATTCTTTAAAACAAATCCAAAGAGGCATATATTACATTAGTTAGATGATGTACAAGAACTACATTACTCCATACATTAAAGCTGCAAATCCAAACTTAGAAATGTTGGCACAAATCAAAATTAAGGTGGCTGTTGCAACATTAATCTGTCTCTCTGTTTATATGCTCCATTCCTGGACAACATGTTCCCATATTGTTATACTAGTTCCTGATAATATAAAAGGATATCACTAATATAAAGGCCATCACTCTGCTGAAATTCAATCTCTTTTCCAAAGGAAAGACACTTGCAGTTTCTGAATAAATGGTAGTAGAAGTTAGTCACCAGAGATTTTTTAACATCTACGATCAATCACGTTGGTTATGACTAAAATTTGTTTCAATCAGCATAAAAGAAACTCAGATGAAATGCTAAAAGCCTGGCAAAGCCAATCTTGAAATCAGAGAAGCTACTGGAAGGACATCTTGAAGCAATTAAAAATAAGGAGCTAAAGGGAAATTTTGATTTTTACCAAAGGTATCTGATAGTGATAGCATAATAAGGACTGCAAACCACTAGTACAGAGCACACATTTTCTGTAAGATATTCTGCTTCATTTAAGGTAAATGCAGGCTTGCACTAGAAATACGGGAGATAGACATGCTTCCTCTACGCAAGTGCAAGGAGCTCAGCTCACCACCTCCTTGTTGCCTCTTCAGTGACAGCGTATGTCCCCTATCCTGCAGACAGATTGTGTCTTCGTGATAAAGACAGACGGGAGCTGGAGAGATGATAGCTGTGACAACGAGAGAGGCTATATATGCCAGATGAATTCCCGTGAGTTCTGTTTAACACAGTCTCCTAAATCAAATGAGTACCTCAGTTAAATAAGATGAATATAAAACACATTGCGAACAGATGTGATTCTTTTTAGCTTAGTTTGAGCCTCATTTTGAGTCTCTCAGGCTTTCAGAAATCCACCAATCTTAGGGCAAGACTATTTTAAAAGCATAGTTTGTTCCACAGATCTTACTAGAGAGGAATCATTATCTTAATTGGGTTTTTGTGTCTAAATCATGAATAGTACTAGACAATAATAAGGGGAAACAGATTTCTTCTCAGTGAAGTATGAGGCTTTATGCATTCTCTTTAAGTGCATTGTAAAATCATGCTCTTAAAGTGATCTTCCCTGGCTGTTTCAGAGCATAGCAGATAACCCTTTCTTAACCCTCATACTGAATATCTTATGGTGCATGTACAGTCTTTGGGCTATTTCTTCACTGCTGAAGAATACTGAGGTTTTTTACACCAAAATGAGTAGTGATTGGTGACTCTCCTGCTGTAAAATTCTAATTATACAAATCTCTGCAGCCCAACATTATAATGGAAGTAGAGAAGGCAAAGCACAGACAGCAAAACAGTGTTTCTTTGCCTTTTTTATACCATTAATAAAGACAATCTATCTCCTCATTTTAATCAGCTTGGACAGCCTGATAACAGTTAACTTGCTTTTAAGAAACCCACTCTCCCTGCACAGCAAGTCTAGGGTTTCAGGAGGGCAGTTGTATCTTCTTTAATCCTAGCTATGCTGTTTTTGACACATGGTTGATCCGCAGGATAAAAACAGATGCTCAAGTGTGCGAAGAACTTTCACGCGGCCTTTGCAGACAGGCTAATGGCTTTGAGTCAAGCAGCGACTGATAATCAGCTAACACCAAGTTTCAAAGTGTCAAGCTGTGATAACGTAGTACCTGCGTAAATGCCCTAAAAGCCTAGCCCACTGTCCTCCCCATCAGTGATCTGGAATAGATCACTAGATATACTCAGATATCCAGATTCAGCAAGATACGTTAAAGCATAAGGAATCAAATCTCCAAATTATGAATAAAATATTTGTACTAGCCAGGTCTCTAGCAAGTGTATTTTCTATTTCAGGGCATCTAGGATTTCACTCTGCTTTCTACATTAACAAATTTTATTCATGCTTTGTAACAAGATTTTGTTCATTAAAAAGTTGTTCATGAACTTAAAAGAAGATTTTCACTTACTGCTGGTACTGTACCTTACATATATTTTAAGAGCCTCTATATTAGAGATTAATGGTATGTTGTAAATTCTTGTGTTCAATTTTCTCTTCATAGTTGCTATACAATCTGAAGTATCAACAAGAAATCCATCTCCTGATTTTGCCCGTTATGGTGACAGTAGCTATTCAGTCATCTCATCCAAAATGCAATGGGAAGAGGCCAGAAAAAACTGCCAAGACAAATCAGCAGAACTTGCCAGCATTTTAGATGCCTATATCCATTCATTCCTGTGGATCCAGATACTGAAATATGGAAAACCTGTATGGATTGGTCTTAACAGCAATATGGTAAGAGTGCTGGATAGACAGGAGGTTTGGGTGCTCAGTGAGCTCTCCTGCTTATTATCGATATGTTGATTGCCACAGTCTTATTGGTGATGCGAGAACTGTCCCCTGGACGGATTTGCTGTGTATGCATGGATTTCTAGCATTCCTG